GGAGAAAATCATGAAAAAAATAGATTGAATTTTGCAAAGTTTTTGCAAGATTTTAAATAACTTACGATCCCCAACAATTTTATTTATAAGAAACATTTTACAAGTTGAAAGTGACAACCGATGAAAGGCTGAGATTTCAATACTTTGTTATCATTTTTAACATCAGAGTCTCTCCTCTCAAAGTTAAGTACAGATCAAGAGGAGATACCCTCGTGAAACCTTCAATGCATTGGCTACGGGAAAAATAGAAAGGAATCAAATAAAAATAAGGGTAAATTGTGTAAACCTCCCCTAAAGTCTCAGGTTCTTGCTGAAATCTCTCTTGAAGTTCGGTAATTATAATTACCTCCCCTGAACTTTCTGACATAGTTGCAAGTAGACCCGCCCCCTCCTTTAGAATCTTCTAAAAAGATGCATAAAATGTCCAAAATATCCATAGACCAAAGGTTTATTTTCCATATTTTCTCTTCATATGAATTGCTACCCCAAACCCTTCCAATCTCTTTATCTGAAATTGATTTATTTTTCAAATTTTCCCTTCATTTCAATCACTCAAAGGTAAAGCTACAACTTCAAATTTTCTTTTTTTTTAGTTGTTCAAAAGGTTTGTATTCATTTTCTTCTGTAGAAATCAGCCTAAATGGTAATTATATGTGTATTTTGGACATTTTGTGCCTCTTGTTAAAAGATTCTAATAGAGGGGGTCTACTTGCAACAACCATGTTACAAAGTTTAGGAAAGGTTATTAAAATTACCAAGCTTCAAGGAAAATTTCAACGACAACCAAAAACTTTAGGAGAGTTTTCAACAATTTACCTTAAAAATAATTATTACAATGTGGTAGAGAAATAGTCAGGAAAAGAGAAAAAATGTCAATATAGAATTAATAATTAATAAGATATGATTATGTTGGAAAAAGGATTTTCACAACTATCTTTATGAATATACCAACTAGAGGTAGGGCAAGAGAGAGAGAGAGAGAGATAGGAGAGAAGAGAGATGAAACTTACGAAGAAAGAAAATTCAATTAGGCCTCAAGTACCTTCCACAGACAATATCTCAAGTTCTGCCCACCAAAGTGGAGAAAGCCTTGGAGTTGCTGCTTCTGGTGAGATAGCAATCACTTCCCTTAGTTTTGAGGTGACCTCCCTCATTGTGGGTCTTTTCCTTGGATCCTGGTTGATGCACTCCTGAATTACTTCACAAATGATGTCAAGTTCATCATTTTTGAAAGATTTGAGTGTGGGATCAACCATCTTGCTGATATTACACTTATCGTCCAAGTATTTAGAAGCCTAGAAATGTCATTAATTTTATCAAAATACATAATCAAAAGCAATAACAAGAAATTTAGTTAAACTAAGACTCTGCTAAATAACTAATTAAATATTAACAAACTAGTTTGTTTACCCAGTTCAAAAGGGGCCCTTCCTCAGAACATTGAAGCTTTCCTGAAATAATTTCTATTAGCAGCATTCCAAAGCTATAGACATTTGTTTCGGGATCAACAAGTGGAGGAAGTTCGGAATGCTCTGATTCATCTTCAATAGATGTCTTTGACTTGAATCGAGCATCTATTGTGAGGCATACCTCTCCAATCTGTCAATAAAGAATAAAAATATTTGAACCTTTAAACAACAACAAAAATGATAGTTAGAAATGAGTATTGTTGAAACTTTTTACCTTAGCAGCATGATCATCTGTCAAATAGATAGAAGAAGACTGCAGATTGGAATGTGCTACAGGTGGATTCAAGTCGTGATGCATGTATTGAAGACAATAAGATATTCCCATAATAATTCTCATCCTAGCATTCCAATCGAGATGCTCAAATTCTTTAACTGTAAAAATGAACAAAAATATTTATTTGCAAACATGAATAAAATTTTTTATCTTTTTTATTTATGAATAAATCATATTTATTTTTGTCTTTTGTATTCCTCAAAAATATATAAACAAATTATTCAAATAATTTGGGAAATTACCATGCAAATGTTGAAATAGAGTTCCATTAGGAGCATACTCAAATACCATCATTCTTGTGAAAGGCTCTTCTTCTTCGCAGTATCCCAAAAGATTGACAAAGTTCTTATGGTTCACTCGTGAAAGAGTGTCAATCTAATGTGAGGTCATAGAAAATAGAAAATAAGAAAGTATTAAAATTCAAGTGTCTAATGTATAAACAAGATAAATCATCAATTGTATAAAAAAATTTATTGACCTTTTTTCTGTAACTCTTTTCCATGCACTTTGCCCAATCTTTAGAGAATACAATTGCAGTTGATAAAACCGCAATCTCAACACCACTAGATAGAGTTCCCTTGAATATTGTATATTCTTCAAAGGTCTCAATAATATTACTAAAATCTTCACAAGCTGTTTCAAGCTCTGGACGGTTCAACTTTGGCGCCCCTGTATTTTTAAGTCAATGTATTTCATTCTTTTCATACATATATATATAATGAATTGTGAACAACAAACTTACCTGTGATGAATGCTTTTTGCAATTGACCACTCAATCCAGTCTTCCAAGGAGTTATGGTTGTTACTCCTTGGCTTCGACATTTACAGAGCATGGTTGCAACAATAATAAGAAATATTGTCATCAAAGCCACAATAGCATACTTCCACAGTTCTCCAAATGAACCATCATCTAATGGTTGTTGGTTATGAGGGACTTTAACTGGAGAATTAGCAAATTGGTGTAGAGGAGGACTTGAAGGAGAGGACAACGATGAAGGTGGAGGAGGGTATTGTTGTTTCTTTGCATTTGGTATTGCAGGGAAAGCCCCACTACTTCTTGTAATTGGAATAGTAGGAACATCTTCAGAAATTGCATTACCGCTTGCAGGCATTGCAGGGAGGTTACTAGATTCTTGTAGTAGTCTACGACGTACAAAGTTTACTATTTCTTGTACATTTTGTGATATATATGGTTTCTCTAAACCTGATGGTGACAAAAACATTGATCATTTTATTGCTCTAAAGCATGAAATAATTGGTGCTTAAAGGTATAACTATCATAGAGAGCTTGTACTCACCCGATATATCATTACAACATTTCTCCCCATAGATAGGCAAAGAGCCTTTTGCAAACTTAAAACTTAACAATAAAATAAGAATTTCATTAGTTAAAATACATTGTCGTCATCATCATCATCATCATCATCATATTATTATTATTATTATTATTATTATTATTATTATTATTATTATTATTATTATTATTATTATTATTATTATTATGTAATTTCTATTGAGAAAAGAAAGAGATATGATATAAATATAATACATACCGTGTAAACATGTCATAGAAAAGTAGAAGCCTCCCTTTAATTCTGAATAATAAAGAATTGGCTTTATTAAGATGTTTTAAACTACTCTCCCAAATGCTGCAAAAAAATGTCTCATTTAAATATTTGTCATATAAAAAGAGTATTAAATGAATTGTCCTCTTAATAAGAAAGCTCAAATATAATTAAATGAAAATGAGTCCATCTTAAGTCATTTAAGTCTTCCATAAAAAATCTTATGAACTAGTTAAGATATAAGGTTAATATCCCTTTTGTGAAGCAACCATATCATCATAAATAGGCATGCATAAAAGATTCTTATAGTATTGGAAGAAGTTAAAAGCATTGCATAAATTCTCTTACCAGTATCCAATTTTTCTATTTAGACAACTAATTCCATTTAGCACATCAGATTTAAGGTTTTGATCAAATTGTAGTTCAGATAGCATATTGAGATTTTCAAACTCAATTGGAATTCTGCCTTGAAAATTATTGTTGCAAAGCAACCTGAAACATAAAGAATTAGAAAAAGTCAATTCATGTCAATGTAGATAGATCCTAGGATGTAAAACCCATGTATAATTTTGTGATAAAAAGACTCACAAACGTTTCAATGACAAAATCATTCCAATTTCTGCTGGAATTGTTCCATTCAAACTGTTATCCCTTAAATCCAATAGCTCCAGCCTTCTAAGACTTCCAATCTCTTTGGGAATCACACCAGTGAAGTGGTTTTTATAAAGAACACTATAAAATGCAAGAAATAAAAAATTTTATTGAGATCCTGGAATATTATTTTAATTTGAATCAATCAAAATAAAACAAATACAACATGATTTCAATTCCAAAGCCCTTATGAGGGTTTTAACCACACCTCCACAAAGGGAGGGTATAGCACTAACCCTATAACCCACTAAGTCTTGCATATAGCAACTTGCCCCTTACGGGGAGCCAAAGTTGCACCATATGTGGAAAAAAAAATCTTAAAATGTAGGTTTGTTTTAAAGTTTATCTAAATGACAATGACTCAATTGTAATGTAGGCTTTTATTTTAGAGCAACTATTATGAAAGCAAAATTTTTTAAACATCATTCTATTACTTTAATAAATCTTACTTTTTAGATTTTAGACATCAAACCTAACATTTTTATTATTTGTTCCCAAAATACCCTTCATGTATTTTATTCATTATTTGTTATTAGTAACATACTCTTATTATATTAAACTTAATAAATGATGATACTAAAATATTAATTAAAACAATAATTATTATTTATGATAATAATAGTATTTACTAGTAAAATAATAATTTACTATTATTTAATTATTTTTATTATTTTATTATCATTATTTTTATTTTATTAATATTAATTTTATTTTATAATAATGACTATTATCAATTTATTAATGTTGATTATAATTAACATAAATTTCTCCTATCATAAGAAACTATGGGGGAAAATTGTAAAGTAGCTATATTTAGCATTTAACATTCAAATTTCAACTTAACATTTTTTGCATTCAGATAACTCCGCCAATGTGAGATTGCCATACACTTCTAGTCCCAAGCCCGAATAAAAGAAGAGTGTTGAGTTAGATAACTCCACCACTTAAGTGGGCCTGAGTTTGGTTGGATTGTCTCTATAAGTGACCCACCATGGAAACACCCTACAGTGGTGTCAAGGTAAGGGTTACCGCATCATTCTAGATGATCGTAGATAAAAAAGCTAGTCCAATAAACACGATTTTGTTTAATCACTTGGAATATAAGAACATTAATAAAAAAATTATGGAATTTGTAGACATTATGAAGGGAAGAAAGGTTATTATTGCATGCTTACATTAAACTAAATTAAAAGAAAAAAAAACTAACGAAATTGATGACTACAAATTATGATAGACAGGAGATGTGAATAATAGAAATCGTGTTGTGATAATAGTATATAAGGATTTGAAAATTTGAATTATAAATGCTAAAAGAATTGGGGATAGAATAGTTTTAATTAGACTTATTTTAGGTAAGGAAATCAATAGCATAATTAATGCTTTTGCACCTCAACTAGGTTTAGGAGAAAACATTAAAAGGTAAGTTTAAGAAAACTTAGAAAGACTAATCCAAGAAATTTAGAATGAAGAGAGGATTTTATAGGAGCAAACTTGAATGGACATGTAGGGAAAAGTGTAGAATATGATATGGTATATGGAGGATTTATAATTGAGGAGAGGAATGATTCAAGAGGTACAATATTAGGTTTTGCAGTAACTTATGATGGTTATTTTAAATGCCTTTTTTTTCTAAAGACGATGAATACTCAACAACATTTAAAAGCATATAAAACATAATTCAAATAGATTTTTTTTCCTACTTGGAGAAAAGAACGAATGATGTGTAAAAATTGCAATGTTATTTCAGGGGAAGCTTAACAACACGACATTAATTAGTTGCAGTAGATGTGCAGATTAGGAAATAGAAGAGAAAGTAGGAAAGGAAATAGGTGTCCAAGAATTTGGTGGGAAAACCTAAAAGGAGAAAAGCTAGTTCAATTAGAAATTGGTTGATAATAGAAGGGAATTAAAATTTAAGTAGAAAGATTAATGATATTTTTCTTGAAATGCCAAATAATATAAAAAAGTATCAAATGAGGTTTTAAGAGAACTTAAAAGGAAATGGAAAAGTATTAAAGAAACTTAAAGGTGGAATGAAGAGGTTCAAAATATAATTAGATTAAAACAAGTATGTTGCAAAGAATGACATAAAGCTAAAAGTACAAAAGATTGAAAAAAAAAGTATAAAATCGTAAAAAAAAAGAAATAAAAAATAAAGTGAATGAAGCTAAATGTAGGGATTATGATGAGCTTTGTTGCATTAAATATGAAGATCAAAGAGTTTTGGTAAAATATGAGAAAATCAAAGAAAGATGAAAAAGGTATTTTTGAAAATTATTAAATGAACAATACAAATATGGTGCTAATGAAGGAGAAGCTAATAATACTAATAATGTTAAAAATAATGCATACTTTGATAGAGTTAGGCCTATGGAAGTAAAAAAGGCATTAAGTAAGACGAGGAAGGAAAAGACATTAGAACCCGATGAGATTCCAATAGAAGTGTGGAAAGGCTGGGGAGAAGTCTTCTTATTATGATTAAATAAGCTATTTAATATGATAGTAAAAGAAAAATAATATGTTTGATGATTAGAGAAATAGTATAAAAGTGTCCATATTTATGAACAAAGGTGATATACAAAATTGTAATAACTATTGAAAAATTAAACTCATGAGCCATACTATGAAACTTTGGGAGATCAACCAAGGAAGCTATATTTCTTTTGAGACGATTGATAAAAAAGTTCAAAAAGAAGAAGAAAAGCCATCATATAGTAATCATTGATCTAAGAAAGGCCTATGATAAAGTTCTTAGAGAGATCATATTGTGGGTCTTGGAAAAGAAAAGGGTTCAAAATAGGTATGTGAATCTAATTAAGGATATGTATAAGGGGAACAATAACCAATGTTAGAATACCAATGGGAGAGACTTTAGATTTTATAATTATGGTAGGTCTTCCCCTAGGTTTAGCATTTAGCCATTATCTTTTTGCATTGATCATAACTGAATTGACTAAACATATTCAAGAAGTTCCATGGTGCATGTTGCTTGCAAGTGACATTGTTTTAATTAATTGACAAAACTAATGAAGGATTAAATTCAAATTAAGCTTATAGACAAATGCTTTAAAAACAAGAGGCTGTAAAATAAGTATGACTAAAATAGAATATATGACATATAAATTTAGTAATAGTAGGAGTATAGATTAGGATACACTTAGGATTAGAAACCAAGAGATGACTCAATGTGACCATTTTTGGTACCTTGGTTCAATAATTCATAACAAAGGAGTGATTGAGGAGGAATGGAGGATATCACCTAGAAAATTAGAGCAAGTTAGGCAAAATGGAGGGATGCATCTAGACTTTGTTTGATAGGAAAATATCACTTAGATTTAAAGGAAAATTCTATAAATAATTGTAAGGCTAGATATGTTGTATGGAGCAGAGTGTTAAGTAGTCAAGAAACATGTTTAAAAAATGAGTATGGCAGAAATGTGAATGTGCTAAGATGGATGACTGGAAAATTAATATATATATATATATATACATATATATATATTAAGAATAAAGCCATCCGTAGAAACCTAGGAATAATTCCAATAAGTGATAGAGAGAGAGAGAGAGAGAGAGAGAGGGAATGCTAAAATGGTGTTGGTCACATGCATAGAAGACCACCAACAACTACATCTAGAATAAATGAGTTGTTACAAGTGGAAGGGAATAGAAAAGTTAGGTGTATACCAAAAAGGATATAGATACAAGTAGTAAAAATGATTTAAGCACTAATAATTTTAAAGTAAATATAGTTTTAAATAGAACTGGTTGTTAAAACATGATTCATGTAGCCAATCTACTACAGTTGAGATCAGTGGTGGAGTTAAGAATTTTCTTTTTTCTGGGGGAGGGGGGAGGGGGGAGGGGGGCAAGTTAAACAAGAAAATGAAATATAGAGTAGAAGTAGGGTTTTGAGAGAAACCGAATAGGAAGGTTTGGGTCTATTAAATAAATTTTTAAAGAAAAAATAAACAATTTTTGTTTTTAATTTTGGGAGTTTGATGAGCATTAAAGAACGGTCCTTAACATCTTATTTCAAGTTTTGGGGAGGCCAAAAACCCACTTTACTATCTTTTTAACTTTGCTTATACATACTACTAACTATATAAATGGTGGGTGGGGGGCAGCAATATACTTGGCTCGACCTCCTAGTTGGGATAAGGCATGGATATCAAATAAATATAAAAAAAAAAACTACCAATCTTTAAAATACTATTTTCCATAGCATTTTTTCTTTTTAAACATCGACTTCAAACCAGTATAAGGACACCTTAGATTTCAAATTTTAGTGTCAATCTTATATTACTAATATAAATTAGCATTTTAGTTTTAAATTGTTTTGTATATTACTTTCATTACTAGAGATATTTTGCATTTGTAAATTGTTTTTTTTCTTATAATAAAATATCATATCTAGGGGTGGATTCGAGCCGAGCCAAGCCGAATAGTACCAGGCTTGAGCTTAGCTTGAGACTATTCTATAAGGCTCAAGCTCGGCTCGGCTCGGCTCATTTTATATTTTATAAATATTTTATTATAAAAATGTTTAAAAAATATTTTATAAAAATAAAAATCATATATAAAATAATTTTTATTTTATATTTAAAAAATTAAGAATTATAATAATTAATAATTATAATATTTTTATTTTATATTTAAAAAATTAAGAATTATAATAATTAATAATTATAATATTTTTATTATATATATTTATTATTTTCTATAATTTTATTATATATATTCGAGTCAGCTCGCGAGCCTCATGAGCCGAGCTCTAGTAGGCTCAAGCTTGGCTCGTTTAATAATCGAGCCATTGAATTGGGCTCGAGCTCGACCGAGCTTGAACAACTTGTGAAAAGCTCGGCTTATTGCCACCCCTAACCATATCTAACTAAGTGGGTGGGATTAGGGCTGTAATCAAGATAGGATTTGGATTGGATTCAACCAGATATAGATCCAATCAGATCCAATGGTCTCAGATTGGATTAAATCCTATGGGGAAAAAAGAAAGAATTCAAAACTCAAAATTTATTAATTAAAAATTTTATAAATATGTACACACATAATTATGTAATATGTATATCATAAAATCCAATTGAACTCGGAGCTCAATTGGACCAAGTTTAGTCAAATCCACATATTTCTCACAAATGTGCATTGATCAACCAAAATGCAATGGCAACGCAATACCACTCTACCAAACAGCTCCTATAATATAATTGATTTTACATTTTTACATTTGAAAAGCAGAGCTACATTTAACATTCTCCTACTTACAGAGATTTTAAGTTGATAAGGTTCCCAAGATCAGGTGCCAGTATCCCTCCCAAAGAAAGCCCTTGCAGATCCCTACATAGATTGTGCAGTGAAATAAGTTTTCCAAATTTCAGAGAAGTTCTATGAATTTCTGAACAAAATTGAAGAAATTCATCAGCCTGGACAAATTCGGAAAAAGCCCAATCGGAACTTACAGCATTTGCACTTTACCGTCTACACAATGAACGCCAGACCATGTACAGGGGTTTCTGTCATTGGGGTTCCAATTTGAAAGAACACCGTAAGGATCAGAGTCGATTCTTGCCCGAAACTCCAACAAAGCCAATCCTGCATTTCCAGAAAATTACCTATCGAATTATTCAATCTTAACCAAACCATAAGAATTCAGCAAAGTTTACCAATAACTACCTTCAACGTTAAGCGTCCAACACTGCTGAATTTCCAGAAGCAGCATCATGAAGAAGAAGCAATTCACCATGTGGAGCTGGAATCCAAAAGGATTCCATCTAACATCCATTGATTGATTGCCCGAATGCTGTGTCGGTGGTGTTAGTACCAATTAGTGCCTAAGCTACGCGAAATCGCCAGGTTTCTTTATTTTTCTTTTCTATTTTCTTCTATACAGATTACCCTCTGGTCCTCAACCGACCCGTGTAAGAAAATAAATTAAAAAAGGAAATTAAGCTATTGTCGAATCCAAGGTACTTGATGGGTCAACCTTCCAATCTGAGTTCCTCATTGTTTTTTACGATTTAATTCACGTTACAAGCCTTATTTCGTTAATGGTTGCGGAGCTCGGCTCGACAGAATCTCAACAAGCGATAAAAGCTGGAAAAAGTAAAATCTGAATGAATCTTCAATATATCCACCAGCTAAAAGCTACCAAAATAAGGAATTCTTGCATGAAAAGGAGGTTGCAGAGGCACCCACATTCGCAAGCAATCCAAATAAAATGAAACGTGAGCTGAAAAGGAGAAGGAGATTGACAAAGACAGAGATGGGGTAAATCTTACCGAAAGAGAGGGGAAGAAAGAGAACAGAACAAGGAATGAATTTTTTCTTGTCGCTGCTGGTTTTGTCTGAAACAGAGTTGAGATTGAATCTTGGGGTGAAACGGTGAAAGGGCGGGAGGAGAGATCAAGAACGAGGCAGCGAAGAAAAAAATTTAATAAAATTTAATTAATTTTTTTTTCTTACTGTCCTTTTCCGACTTTTCTCAACACCTCTCTTCTTCCATGTTTTTTCTTTCTTCCGTCAAGGGAGGCGCCGGCTCCTCTCTCTCTCTCTCTCTTTTTTTGTTTCCTCGCTTCCTTCCTCTGTTTCCTTTCTCCTCCAACCCCACCAGCCACCACCACCCCCAACTGTTCTGTTCTTTTTCCTATTTTTTCTTTTTCTCTTCGGCCCCACTTTCTTTTACTTTTTTTACTTTTTTCTTTTTCTTTTTTTTAGATTTGGACTTTTTGGAGACCCACGTTTGACCGCCGTAGTTCAGACCGTTAACCGTCACCGCCGGCGTCATATCCTTTCCCGCGTTTTCTTGTGGTGCTGATGGGACCCACATCCGATGTCCCAGGACGGGCTAAATTTTGTTCCTCCCCTGTTGACCAGGGGCCCCAAAATTTTCAATTAGTATCTCCTTCCTTTCTTGGTCCCCGGTCCCCGCATTTCAAGCCTTGGATCCTAATCGGAAGGTTACGGAGCAATATAGAGTTCTAATTGGTAGAGTATCAATAGACTCGCTGCTTCCAATTAGACAATATCATAATCTGGTCAATTTGCCACGTGGATACTTTAGTCCACGCTGGACATCCCTATTTTGAATTCACATCACATCTCCTGCGGGACTGATCTGAACTCCCCTATTTTTTCCTTTCATATTCTTCTAAATCATCTCTCTAGTCTTTAGCACAGCCAAACCCTTGCTTTCGCTTTCTGGCCGTCGCTCACAGTTCACCAACCCCGAAACACTCTGTTGTTGGTGTAGCAATTGACGCTTGTCTCTCTCGCTTGCTTTTGTGGTTATACATTGGGGTGTAGAGCCTCACTTGCTCGCTGTTGTTCGCAGCTCTCTGTAGAACTTTCACCTATCGTTTTACCATAGAAGAAGATGCAGCCAGGAATTGGTTTCTGGGTTTCTCTTGTTGAAGTTTGATTTCTCTATCAGAACTTTGAATCTCAGTGAATCCTCCCTCTTATCCATGAGAGAAAGGTTCCCTCATTGATGCTTTCTGAGTTGATGACAGGCACAGGGAAGACCATGGATCAGTTTTCTCGCGAGTTCTTACCATCTTTGTAAACATTGAGATAAGGGTAAATTTCTCAAATTTGCAACACCGACTCACATCCATGAGAGAAATGTTTTTTTTTTTTCCTTTTTCTTCTAATGGGTTTTGATTCCTTTCACTTCTTTTTTCTTAACTTTTCAAAGGTTTTTTTTTTTTTAGATTTTTTAGTCTTACTCCCTAGTTTTAAATAGGTAGTTGTGAGAATATTAATTTACTTACAATCCTTTTTACCTATATGAATCCCAACTTCGTGAATGTGGGTGGATAAGCTGTTAGTATGTTAACGGTGAGATAGATTTCGAGCTGAGGCCATCAGTGTTATTCGCCATAGGTTTTGTATCATGAAGCTACACATCTCAAAATTTTCCGGAACATTATTGTTATTCATGACCTTGTTTCTAATATATTTCGTGGGGATATGAATCGATTAACGCATAAAAATTCCAATTTATTGAAAAACCTGCAGCAGCGAAATGTATTAGTTTTCTTGGTAGAATTTTATATGTTGAACTTGCTTTTGGAGAATGGGCATTTACGGAAAGGAGTTAATGTGTTACCAAAGTGATACTTCGAGCATACAGAAATTGCGAAATTGTGAGGGGAAAATATATGCCTGGATAGGGTTGAGGTAAAGTCAAGATTCAAGCTTACCTTGAAAGCTTTTCAAAGGAATATCCAGCTTGCATAAGATTTCATTGTTTTATACATAAGGTATCCCAAAGTATGGCTGCCACTGTTAGCATTGTCTGGAAATGTCTTCGGGAAGGTTGTTTGTGCACCGTATCCAAGCCACATTATGAGAAAATCATTTAGGTTTAACCTATTGAAGTGCTCAACTCTTGGTGCATGGGCAATGGCCAATGTAGTATCTTTTCCTTTTCTTAAGGAAATGGGTAATGTAGTACCTGTTAAATATAAGTGCATACATGAATCTAGAGTTAATGGTAATTAACTTAAAACTTTTATAGAGGAGGGTGCAATTCAATCAATGCTTCTATGAAAACTTATGTTACTAATAAAAAGAACCCTATTGTATCCTGATAGCAAGAGCATGGATGTACAAGGTGTTGCAAGTGAAGTTTGTAACCCTAGAGAAGAAAATAGCAGTTCGCCACCTTTTTCTCTAGCATTTTCCTCCAACAGCCGCCACCCTTTTCTACCAGTTCGAGAAGATCAAGAAAGGTTCTTGATTGATCGTGTGGTGCTCACAGTCTTCCATCAAGTTCTTCAGAAGAGCCTGGTTCGTGGGACGAACACTGCTGGTTCAGCTCCATCATCACTGTGTCATCTTCAGTGGGAGTTGATCTTGGGATCTTCTATAGGCGTGAACACCAACTTTGGGATATACTACTTCTCTAGATCAGGTATAATCCCTCCCTTGTCTTTTGGTTCAAATCTGATTTGGTTTGGTTCAAATAGGATCATTGAATTTTGATTCTAAAATAAGGGAATGTGATTCCCAGTTGGAAGAAAAGGCAGGAAATTTTTGAAATTTGCCCACCCAATCCACAACCTTTTTGTCATCTATACGATGGATCCTACCATTTCTTTCAGTGGTATCAGAGCCACAGGTTCGAATCTTGAACCAAGAAATCATATATGAACCTGCGCAATTCGGCAGAATCTGTTCTGTCCGAGTATTGCGCAGATTGTTGTTTTATTCCAAGAAACTGTTTCTTGTTRAGGGCGATTGATCTGAAATTAATTTTGTTAAATCTGAAATTTATTTAGAATTGTTCTTTATTTATTTTGATTTAATGGACTGTTCGTACCTGGAGATCGAAGTGCAGAATTGGCACAGATTGTTTGCGCATTCTTTCTTTGCAGTTTCTATTCAATTCGGTCTGTAAAATTTTTTTTTTCTAGAGTGGATGTATAGGATTCAATCAAGGATGTAATTAATTAATAGAAATAGGATTTCTGTTTTTTTTTTATTTTATTTTCTTGATTGAAGAAGGTGGCAGAGCTGGAGATTTGTAGATAGAGGGATCGCATTCTGCGTTTTGCAGTTTATGAAACTACAACCCTAGTGACTAACCTCTGTTTTGCAAGTGGTGCAAACAATCCATGTCTGATTTATGATTGTCTAAAATCATAAATATATCAATTTCATATCTTTCCTGAATTAATTCTTGAATTGAAAATCAATTTTGGACCATCTCGGACCAGATTGGACCAAATCAGTTTGGACCGAATCTAGGGTTCAAAAGGGGACTGTTTCCAGTTCAGATTTCTCACATTTTCAGGCCCAAATTTGATGTTCAATTGTAGGGATTAATTCGGCCCAACCTGTAAAGCCCAGTTTTAAAGAGTTAAAACTACAAAAGCCCACTTTTGTGAGAAAA